GAGAAGAAGAAATTGGTAGGGGAGGAGGGAGAAGAAGAAATTGGTGGGGGCAGGGGCGTACCTAGAGCATTTGGCACCCGGGGCGGATCCTGTGCGTGGCACCCCCCCCCAAAAAAAACCAAAAAAAAAACAAACCTGTAAAAAATGTTAAAGGTTTTCTTTAATTAATCCACACTCCTTAATTAAACCATACCCCTTAATCCATACCCCTTAATTAATCCATACCCCTTAATTAATCCACACTAATTAATCCACACCCTTAATTGATACACACACCCCATAATTAATCCACCCCCATAATTAATCCACCCCCACTTAATTAATACACCCCATAATTAATACACCCCCCATAAATTAATACACCCCCCATAATTAATCCACCCCCCATAATTAATACACCCCTATAATTAATACACCCCCCATAATTAATTCACCCCCTATAATTAATATACACCACCCCCATAATTAATACTCCCCCATAATTAATTCACCCCCTATAATTAATATACACCACCCCCATAATTAATACTCCCCCATAATACACCCCCCATAATTAATACACCCCCCATAATTAATACTCCCCCATAATTAATACTCCCCCATAATTAATATACCCCCATAATTAATCCACCTCCCATAATTGATACACCCCCATTATTAATACACCCCATAATTAATACACCCCCCTCCTTTCTCTCACCCCTCCTTTCTCTTTCTCACCCCCTTTCTCCTCTTTCACCCCCTCCCTTTTCCACCCCCCTCCTTTCTTTCTCACTTCCCCTCATTTTCCTCACCCCTTTCTCCTCTTTTTCACCCCCCCCCTTCTCTCTTTCACCTCTCTCTCCCCTCCTTTCTCCCCCTACCTTTTGCTGTTGGCGTGGCGAGCCAGTATAGTGCGGGTACAGGTAGCTTTTGTTTCCTGTACCCGGCGGGACTAACGGAAGTGCACACACTGTGTACTTCCCGTTAGTCGGCAGGTACAGGAGACAGCTGCTCCCTGTACCCGCCCGACTATTCAGCTCAACGCAAAGAAGCTGACAGGAGGAGGGCTGAGCGTTTCCTCCTGTCAGCCCCTCTCCTCAGGCTGTGCCCAGGCGGTGCGGTCCGCCCTCATGGACGCACCGCCCGGGCAAAGCTGCAGCCGCCTGAGGCTCTCTACAGAGCGCTCGGGCGGCTGCAGCATGGGGGCGGGGGGGGGCGCCCCTGGTCATGGCACCCCCCATCCTGGTGGCACGCGGCGCGGACCGCCCCCCCTGCCCCCCCCTTAGTACGCCACTGGGTGGGGGGGAGAAGAAATTGACGGGGGATGAGAGTTACAGGGGAGGAAGGGGCAATGAGAGTGGGAATGGGGAGGGGAGAAGAGAGTGACAAGGGAGGGAGAGGGGGGAGAAGAGAGTAACAAGGGAGGGGGGAGAGATTGACATCCATCACACACACATGCAATGCACCCATTGCACACAGAAAAACACAATGCATTACACACACAGACACACACACACACACACACACAAACAATGTAACCCTTACACACAATGCATCCCTTACACACACAGAAACACACAATGCATTCCTTACACACACTCAATGCACCCCTTACACACGCACACACTGCATCCTGTACATACACAGAAACACACCTTGCAGCCCTTACACATACAAACACAGATTCACACAATGCATTCCTTACACACATATCAGGACATCCCCTACACACTCCACCCCCTGTGAACAAACTCATTGGTGGAACATGAAGGTGGACCCTGGGACCCAGACCTTGAGCTGTGTAAAGGGCCCCCCAAAAATGGAGCTGCTTCCCGTTCTCCTAGTATATTGATTTTTGTGACCACAGTTACAAACAGCCTCCAGAGAGCCTGTTCTACACCAGACCAGTGGAGCCAGACTGCAGCTAGAGCCCATCATCATCCTCATCTCGTTGTAAGTAGGCAATCTAGTATATTATTTGTGGCACTAATCTCTAATTTACCTCACATTAAAGAAACACTATTCCGTTGTTGAAAAATTTGCGCTAATTAAAAGCAGGCGAATTTAAATTAATCTGTATATTATATACAGATTGATATCTTGCACTTCTATTAAAGAATTACAATTAGATGTACAGGATTGAGGAAGTTGGCTCCATCTAGCCCAGTCTTGGATCATCTCCAGGGTATGGTTCCATTTTGAGGTTTAGTTTTTGTTCTTGATATTTTTTGTCGTTTACGATGGTTGTGAGACGACATATAATAGCATGGCCCATGCTAGGTTACTACATTTGTATATTTGTATTCATAGACCTGCTGAAAATGTGGAGAATGTGTGTAATGCATGTTCGCACTCAATAAAGTGTTGGAAAATAAACTTGTATTTAGATGCATTTTACTTTAATTACATAAGTATTTTCATAACAAACAATACATGTGCTTGGGGGGTAAGGGTTTCTTTAACTAATCTAGTGGAAGAGACTCGAGTGCTAAAATCCACGGGTTAGGGGGCGCAAATTACTTGCCTTGCCCCGGGTGCTGACAACCCACGCTACGCCACTGCCAATACCATCTGTAAAGCATTTTTCTTGAGAGATCTATATGATCTGAACATAATGTTAAGGTTTTGTATGCTTTGAAGATTTGATCCCATTCACTTTCTGAAAGAGTTTTCCCCATATCTTTATGCCAAACCTCCATATAGTTATGTAGAATTGCCTCTGTTGACTTAACCATATAGGCATAAAGCTATGAAATAATTTTCCTGTTTTTTTAAGCCCCATACACATTTGTTCAAGGTCCATCAATTGCTGCCAATATTCATTATTTGGGTCCAGTACAAATGCTCAAATGCTACTTCCAACGGTCCTTACTGTACAAATTTAGGATTCATACAGACATACATCATATGGGCTCATTTCACCTGCTATGCCTATTTCAACACTTTCTCTGATTATCGCCACATTCAATTATAGATTATGGGAGAAATATGGGGTTACATTTTTATATCTGGTAATTCAGGAAGTAGATTTCCAAATTTTGAAAGAAAAAAATAACCTCTCTAATATAGCATATTATTCACATTTACAGCTTCAGTCATGGATGCACAATCCTTCTTTAAAGGAACACTATAGGCACCCAGACCACTTCATCCAATTGAAGTGGTATAGATACAGTGTCCCAGGCCTCTTAATCCTGCATTTGTTATTATTGCAGTTTTTGATAAACTGTAATAATTACCTGTCAAGGTTATCTCCATCTCCAATGGCTGACTACCAGACAGCCACCAGAGGGACTTCCTGGTCGTTAGGCGACTTTTGGTCATCTAACTGACGCTAGACATCCGCACGCTCTGCATGAGGACATCCAGTGCCCCCCAAAACCCCATAGGAAAGCATTATACTATGCTTTCCTATGGTGGAAGTCCTAATGCGATTGCACCTGTGGTTTTCTATATGCGTTTGCCATCCCTTAATTAGAGCTGAATCACTCACAAGAAAACCTCAACCTTTGCACCCAGAGCCTGATTTACATCTTAGGTGTCTGTAGACACAGACCACTCAGACAGCCATACTTAGTTTATTTCTCTATTGACATTTTTCACTGATGTGTCTGAAAGTACACCTCTCTTCCCACCTGCAAAAAAAAGAAGAGGGTGCAATTACTAATAAGCAAAATGAAAACTATATCTAAAGGGTGAAAAATTCACATTCCCAATTAGGGAAGGCACCATTGGAAAGCTGCCTGCTCTGCCTTGCAAATCCAGTCCTCTGGAGACCTACCTTGGACCCAGTGGATGGGTGAGACCTAGCCATGAGCCCTTTCAATGGATGACCTCCTTAAAAAGAGTTTTGCATATTCTGTGCACTTACACACACACTGCTGGCACACTAATGAATGAATATTTGCCTAATTTCTAACCATTAAAATAATGAGTTCTAATCAATTACTTTAAAGCCTCCTTAGCCAAACATAGCAAAGGACAACAAGGAATGTCTTCTCTAATGTTACAAACAGAAACACGAGCATGCACCGATTTTGTTAAACACTTTAGTTCCCTGAATCTTTCTTTATCAATGCAATTATTCTCCTAATCTTTTAAAAACACTGCTCTGCTGGCTTACAGATAAAGAGGACTTGAAACTTCTACGTACGTTTATTGTCTGTTGCATGATTTGAACATGCTATAAATAAGTGGCCTTTTATTGAAACATCGCCCTCTCCCGCTCTTGACACAATATATTGAGATTTCCACGTCTAGACGCCATAGCGAGAGATGGCCTTTCTTTGTGTTTCTCTAGAGCTGGCTTTGTGCCATCATTGTCCTATGTTTTAGCAGGCATCACAACAGCTTGGTGGGGCCGATTGAATTATTTTAAATTTGACAGTACATTTATCAGTTTATCTACTCCGCTTTCTTTTTCAAACACATAATTTGACATTTCAATATGAAAGCTGACAATTTGTATTAGGTGTTGTGTGAGAATTATGCAGGAATCCAAAGAATAACACAGAATGTATTATTAGTATTATTATTATAGTAGCAGTGTTCCAGATGTATTGTCTGAAAACAGCAGTTGTTGTTCTCATTTTATACTGAGTAATATATGTATATGATACCGCACTCACTCGAGTATTACCAGAATGCAACTAATTGGATGCACAAAAGTCATTTTGTTTTTATTGCACAGAAGAAGAAAAAAAGGAAAAAAAATTAAATACAGGGTAATAGCAATATCACATATACAAGCATAAGTGCCTACAATTGCCACCAATGATCCTAATGTGATATACAAGACAATTTGAACAAATGCATACAGATATTACAGAAATCCGGATATAAATAAACCTCCTGGCTTGACTGCACATGGAGTAGGACGCACGAGACTCAAGCTCCTAGGCCCCAACCCGCAAAAGCCCTACCACACAGCGGCAAACAACAAGAAAATGGGGAAAACTAAATGCCCAGCCACCCCAGGACCGGCCCCAACTGCACAGCTCCAACAGCAACCCGGCCCCATGGATGAATACCTCTCCGCGCCTCGAGGCCTACACGGCACTCAGGACCACGACAATATGGCGCCTACCTCCCCCGGTTCTGCGAGCATAGCAGAATCAACGCCAGACCCCCGGGACACGGATGCACTTTCCCAAATCTCAGCGGACCTGGCAGCCATCTCTGCGACCATGCTCACCCGCAAAGACAAAGCCGAGATGGTAGCAGAACTCCGGTCAGTCATAAGAGAGGAAAGTTGATCGTATGCAAGCAGAGCAGCACTGCCAAGCGGCGGACCTGGCGGCCACCAGGCAGGGCAATAACATTCTCGACCTCAGGAGACAGGTAGAAGACCTCGACAACAGGGGCCGCCGAAACAATATTCGGGTCCGAGGCATCCCAGAAACAGAAGGGGAAAACCCCCATGAAATACTCACGAGCCTGTTCTCCCAACTTTTAAGGGACGAGGCACCGCCAGACTTTGGCATCGAGAGAGCCCACCGAACCTTGCGTACCCCCAGGCGAGATGGTCTACACAGAGATGTAATCTGCTGCCTACTCTCTTTTCAGCTCAAAGAATCCATCATGAGGGCAGCCAGGGCACAACATGACGTCCCGTTCATGGACACAAGGTTCTCGCTGTACCAGAACCTATCCACACTTACCCTGGACGCCCGCTGGGCCCTGAAACCAATCACACGCCTTCTACAAGAAAAAAGAATCTTATACAAATGGGGATACCCGTTCAGTTTACAGGCAAAGGTTGAAAACCACTGGCATATCATCCGCTGGCCTAACGATATACCGCATTTCCTATGGGCAACCGGCCTTCCACATGTCACTGTCCCAAATTGGATATTCGAGGGCCCACCGGCACGAGCTACAGGCCCCAACGAGCCGAGTCGCAACCTTCATGGGAGCCAGGACCCCAGGGCACAACGAATCAGAGGCGGCCCAGTCGGTCCGGAGGAATAAGAACGACCGCTATCCCCCTGCCCACCTGACCGAACACAGACCCAGCCCACGAACACCCAATCCAGCCAGGAGAGACACAACACTGGGGGTATGTACCTTCGTTACACACACGCAACCCTCTCCCAAGCAGCACGCAGAAGGTAGTTTACGGGACTCTGGGACCGGGTTGGGACTTGGTACGCTGGGACCACGGACTACACAATTGCATAGAAAGCAGACAGGGGTGGGGATTGACCCAGGTATTTGGGTGGGGTACCGGGACACAACAATAACCAGACCAGAGGAGAGCCTGCTGCCCCTATTGATAGCCACGAGGCCGGAACACCATGACACATGAGCTGAGACTAACAGGCATCACCCAACGCTACTGTTCGTGATACATAACGGTAACAGAGGACACAGTCAACCCTCATATTCCCCACGCACAAGCACAGCTGAAATCACACGGACACACCTCCTAAGGAACAACCACACACTGACCACGCCGGACCAGACACAGGAGAGGGCCGTCACAGACAGAACGGAAGGAACACTGACGACATGCCAGAACCCCCCCTCCGCTTCTGAGTCAGCCACAAAGGAAGAAATACCGATCCCTGACGGACAGGCATCCCCACCCGGTCATAACAGACCCGCGCAACACACCCATGACAAACTCCGCCCAGAACCACACAAGCCGCAAACACAAACACACCCCGTGGGTTGGGAGCTACTGGAGTCAGAGACACGGACACTCACAACGGTACCTACATTATTGTGACGAGAGACCTCTCGATACCCCCACGCAATGGATCTCACCTGTAGATACGACCGGGGTTCGCTGGACTAGACAACCCACCTCCAGCTGAACAAAAAACCCGTTCCGAGATCGATATTGCCCAAAACACCACTCGCCCAACCACACTAGCAGGTCACAAGTGCCACTTATTACACCCTGCCCCTACCCCCTTCCCACCCTCGGGCCCCGGCCCACGCCCCCCCTCGGGAATTAGGGTGGGGCTCCAGCCGGCAAGCCTCAAGTACTGGACCAATAACGTCCGAGGACTGAACTCCCCAAAGAGGAGGGCTATGGTTCGGAGGCTATGGTCTGAGAGAGTAAGCATAGCGTGGAGATGCACTTCAAGGGCGTAGGGGCACCAAAACTAGGGAATAGCCGCTTCCCCCTGGCCTACTACTCAAACCATCCAGACTCGAAGAAAGCAGGAGTGGCGATACTTTTCTCCCATACAGTCCCGTTCCTCTGCACAGCACAGCTATCAGACCCAGGTGGAAGGTTTCTGTTGCTCAAAGGCACCATAGCAGACCATACTTATACTTTTGCATCCCTTTATAGCCCCAACAAAAGACAACATACGTTCTTGGGCAAAACAATGGCCAAGCTAGAGAACTTCAGAGAGGGACTACTCATAGTGGCCGGGGACCTTAACTTACCCCTAGACCCAGGCCTCGACTCCTCTAGAGGCACCAACACGATCCCCACACATTGCATCCGAGCAACACTCCGAACGTTAAACCGGCTGGGCTTGGTTGACTGCTGGAGGGCGATACACCCAGACAGACGGGACTACACCTTCTACTCGGCTGTACACAAACTCTACAGCCGCATAGACTATATCTTCATAGCCCAGGAATATCTGACAATCCTACAAGACTTGAACATCGGACTCATCGATCACACAGACCATGCCCCGGTATATGCCAATACAAGTTCCCCACTCTGTAAACCAGGTGAACGATATTGGAAACTAAATGAAAGCCTGTTAAATGACGTGGGGCTCACTGACAAAGCCACCCAAACACTCAGACAATTCTTTGACACAAATGACACACCCGACATGAACCCGCTGACTCTATGGGAGGCTCACAATTGTGTCATACGCGGACACTTTATCGCAGAGTGATCCCAACGCAAAAGGGACAGGACGCGACACATGACCGAACTGACGAAACGCATAGCTAAACTGGAACAGGATCACAAACGCACATTAGACGACACCACATATCTACAACTCGCGGAGGCACGTAGAGAGCTTAGTGAAGTCCTTTCCAAAGGGCTCCACCTCACCTTTAGGAAGTAAGCCAGATTCTACTACGAACACTCGAACAAAAGTGGGCGCTTGCTGGCCCGAATGCTGAAGGAAAAAAGGAAGAGGCAGCACATCCACAAGATGCGAACCAGGGGTCAAGACATCACTAGGCTCCCGGAGGGCATCCAAGAAGCCTTTCGCGACTATTACACCGACCTATACGATCAAACACAAGACAGGAGAGGTGCAGCAGCCCCACGACACTTACTACGCATCACGGACTACCTGGACCAACACGTAGCCCGCACGATACCCACTGAGTCAGCGACTGAACTGGAACAACCCCTGACGCTTGAGGAACTGGCAGCAGCCCTGAAACAATCCAAACCCCAGAAGGCCCAGGCCCAGACGGCCTCCCACTAACATACATAACCACCTTCAAAGACATCCTGCTCCCAAGAATCCTCACAGGGCTCAACTCGATAAGCACGGGAGGACAGTTCCCCTCCGACACTCTCACGGCAACAGTGACGGTCATTCCCAAGGAAGGTAAGGATCCGGCCTGCTGTTCAAGCTACCGACCAATCTCGCTCCTGTACGCGGACATAAAGCTCTTCGCGAAGGCACTAGCTCTCCGGCTCATGTGGATCCTCCCAGACCTGGTCCACCCCGACCAGGTAGGATTCATACCGGGCCGTGAAGCGAGAGACAACACCATAAGGGCCCTTAATATCATCCATCACGCGAAGCAAGCTGGGAGGGAAGTGATACTCTTATCCACTGACGCCGAAAAGGCTTTCGACCGAGTGGATTAGACTTTCCTAGCAGAAACCCTACAGCACATGGGCTTTGGCCCTACCCTTCGGGCCTGGGTCATGGCACTATATACCACCCCAACAGCACGCATACGCATTAACGGAGCCTTAACAAAACCTTTCCCCATCCATAACGGCACCAAACAGGGATGCCCCTTATCCCCCCTCCTGATTGTCCTCTCTCTCGAGCCCTTTCTTGAGGCGGTCAGACGAGACGGGGGAATCATGGGGCTCCGCATGGGGGAGGTTGAACATCGAGTGGCCGCTTATGCGGACGACATGCTATTTTTCCTAGAGCAGCCGAGAACCTCCATTCCAAACCTCCTAGAAGCCTTCCGGAAATCTAACTTAGTGTCTAACCTAAAACTCAACTTAAGTAAATCCGAAGCTATGCCAGTGATGAGAGTCCCCAAACAATTACATCAACTCCTCTCGCAATTCCCATTCAAACACTGTGAGGACAAACTCCAATATCTCGGAGTCTGCCTGCCAGCCAACCTCACACTCCTATACCGAACGAACTACCTCCCAATCCTGACGACACTGCAGAACGACCTCCACAGATGGTCATCCCAATACATATCATGGTTCAGCCGCATCAGCGCGGTCAAGATGAAAGCGCTACCCCGCCTCCTGTACCTGTTCCAGACCATCCTGACCCCACTACCGAAAGCATACTTCCAATCGCTGACAACAGCGATCAGAAAATTTGTATGGAATCACAAGCCCACCCGGATCCACAGAACGACCCTGGAACGACCCAAGAGAGAAGGTGGCGCGGGACTCCACTCACTGCTCACGTACTACCACGCCACCCACTTGCAACAGCTGGTAGACTGGCACGCCAACCCGAGCTCGAAATTATGGGTACAAATGGAAATACACCAAACCCAGGGAAAGATACCATCCAGAATCTGGCACGGGAGCTCAACATATGCTGAGATCCGCACGGGCAATCCGGTGATCGATGCAACGCTCTGCGTGTGGTGCTCCATACGATTTACCAGACAACTGACGACCTCACCTAACCCGCTTACCCCCATCACACATAACCCAGACCTGGCAGGAGGCCTACACCCCACCGCCCTGAAGAATTTCAGAGCCTCTGACTGGGAATACATACTCAAATGGAGCACCACACACACACTCAAACCAATAACGGACCTGCTTGCGCAAGACAGACCGACCCAACTAGACAAATTTCACTACCACCAGATCAAGAACTATTACATGACTATCAGAGGTAAGGGTCACCTACATAGGCCATTGACATACCTGGAACACACATGCACAGCTAGACAACACCTCCCCCATGGGGTGTCGCTATTATACACCACCCTACTAACCAATGAAGACAGGCCCCCATTGGGATTTACAACAAAATGTGAACGGGACAAGGAGACCGCACTCACTGACCAGGAGTGGGACAAAATCTTCCTACTAACACACAGGGGATCCATCTCCACAAAATACCAGGAGACCAACTACAAACTACTGATGCACTGGTACAGGACCCCAGACACCCTCCGACACATACACGAATCACTCACTGGTAACTGCTGGAGATGTGAGGGAGACATCGGCACCGGAATACATATCTGGTGGTCATGCCCACTCATTGCTCCCTACTGGCGGATGATCAACAGTAAGATCAAAGAAATTGCAGGCACTGAAGAGCCTGACGATACATTTACTCACGGCAGCGAAATCCCTAATCCCGACACACTGGAAACGCACGGTAGCGCCTACCTTCCAGCAATGGGTAACTAGAGTTGAAGACATATACAACATGGAAATAATGACAGCCTCCCTACAGGGACGCTCCAACAAATGTGCTCAGACCTGGATGGACCCATGGATGGAGTTCGTCTCTAGGGGGGCTGGGGGTAGACCTGGGGCCACGTAGCAACCCCAACTATCTCTCCCCGCTACCAGATATCTGCACTGTCCTACCAGTCCACCAAACCCAACTCCACCACCCTAACACCACAAGCCACTTTTAAGATACAAGCACAACTCACACCACATTAGGAGATCGATACTATCAACCACGATCAAGACACTAAATGACTGTAACAAATGCCTAGGAAACATTTAGAGAATCTGAGCATTAACAAAAAATATCTAAAATAACTGATATGGAGTAGTGGCCTATTGA